CGTCGCTCGCTGCAGCACCGTTGACAGCTGGAAAGAGTGTTTGTTTTGTATCATGACCTAACAGAGAATGCATCGCTCGCTGCAGCACCGTTGACAGCTGGAAAGAGTGTTTGTTTTGTATACCTAACAGAGAATGCGTCGCTCGCTGCAGCACCGTTGACAGCTGGAAAGAGTGTTTGTTTTGTATCATGACCTAACAGAGAATGCATCGCTCGCTGCAGCACCGTTGACAGCTGGAAAGAGTGTTTGTTTTGTATCTATCTATATATTAATAGGCAAGCATGTTTCTTTAAAACCTTTTTTCTCATCTTGTGTGCATCGTAGGGAAAATCTACGCATACCGTTAGAAAGCTATTTTCCTGTAGGTGTGCAGAATCCCTTTATAAATTTAAATAGGCTCAAAGATAAGCGCAAAAAATGAGTTTAAAAATTTGAAAAAATTAACATGGATCTTATGCGTTGCCATGCTGGTGACAAAATAACAACGAAATATAAAAAGAAAATCAAAACAAATGGAAGAAACTCCAATCACATGTTTTATTTACATTGTGGGGTGAAACATTAACATAAGTGAGTACATTACATATTTTTGGTCGAGTTTCGACCACTGGACATTACTCGTACTTATGTAACACGTGTGCAAACTACGCATTTCAATTGGGGTCAAAACGTATACACCCCATTACATTTCCAAGTGAAGAAAACTATTAATTCACAATAAATTAAATTTGTTGATTTTAGATCCACACCATAAGAAGTGATTCATCTATCGTAATCAGGTTACAGCTAACAAAAACGTAGCCTATGCCTATTTAAAATCCATGTTTAAACAAATTTCCGTCTCTTGTTTACAATCTAACTGAAGTAAAAAAATCAACTAAAGGATCATCTATTAAATAACAATTTCCATATAAACTGTTATAAAGAAAGTGGATCATCGTAACGGAGTCTTTGAAAGTTAAATAAATCAAACGCTAAGGGGCTAAGACCTAAAGAAATCCCCATTTTAGTTTCAATTCCTCCCTCCTCTACTACAACGAATTTAACAACCCATCTCCGTCTCACAGTGTAGGTTTATTGAGCTGAATGATTAAGATTTATAATAAAATCGGCTGGTTTCACCTAATTAACTTATCACTGGTTAAGAAAAACATTACAGTGACTTGAACAATAGGACGGCATTTCAATGGTGAGATCATTACCATTGATACGATAGTTTGAATGGCCTTTGATTCACGTTCAAGGGCGCTTCCGCCCATCACTATAATGATATTGTCTTCTGCAAAAAAGTTATTATTACTGCATTATGTGATAGAAAGATTTAGCTTTGAATATGTAGCTATGAATAAATGCCTATATTTATATACAGTAGAACCTCGATAACAAGACTCTCATGGGGATTATTAAATCAGACTTGTTATCAAGCTTGACTTCTTATTGAGGTTTGTAATAACATGTGATTAGGGGTAAAAAATGCAAGGGGATTTAAAAATTGCACTTGTTATCAAGGGTGACTTGTTATCGAGGGTCTTCTTATCAAGGTTCTACTGTATGGTGTTTTTTGTTTCATTACAACACCCTCCCCCTCCAGTTTACTATTCACCACTAATACTAGGCTATCACTTAAAATGCAACTCATGAGGTAAGTTTGGTTAAGATAGCTATATCGTGATCAAAGATATGAAATGAAACTCAAATTTATATGCCACCACCAGATTAAATTATTGTTAACAAACAAATTAAACTAATTTGACTTTTAATATTATTTTTGGATTTTAAGCACTGGTTCTGGCTCAAAATCTAACAACTTTGTTTACGTGTACTATTATTCTTTACCTTTACAGGTTGCACTTCTTTTGCGCCCTATTCCAGTCCTTCCAAGAGGGCTTGCAAGGGATACTTAATCCTGCACCTATTTTGCGCTTTATCCAGAACAGGTGGTCAAAGGGGTAGTATTCCCCGCTAGGCAACTAAGTTCACAAACCCACCCTCCAAACCACTATTTGCATGGACTTGTGAAGTGGGTGAGATAAAAACGCATAGATAAAAAATAAGATATGTAGGATTACGAATCAATTGTATTTTTTCATTGTTAGTAATTTGTATATTACTTGTATGGTTTTTAATTACTGTTCATAATTTAAATTGTGTGAGTGCAAATTTTTACAATGTTTGTAATACAAATTCATGTTTCTGACCCATGAATTTTGTTCATACAAAAATATGTTAAACTTTAAATCCGTCAAATAGTTCAAGAATTGTTTAGTTGGATCAGCTTACATGTTTGTGAAGACAGGATTATCAAAGCTTGCAACTGAAACAAGCACTACACTAACATAAAAGGGACTTAAATTTAAACTTTTTAATAACCATAAACAGTTCCTAAAGCGCAAAATATTTAACATAAACTACTGTAGGAATACCTTGAGACAATTCCAGTGAGAAAATCGGCTCCCTACAACGTAGCACTTCACCTAAGCTGATGTACCAAGTTTCGCTCACGACTGTAGCCTGCACGACATTAGAACATTTTGGTAATCTAGTTATGTTAATTACACCACTATTGTCGCAACTAGCAGCCTCGAGAGGGCAATAGACCTGCGTCTGTATATTATTTGCATCCCAGAACAGCCACGTACTTCAAAATTGTCAACTAATTAGGTTGTAAACACAATGGGTCAACACTGGGGTAAAAGGTTAGGAAATCACCCAATCAACATGATAGATTTTCCTCAAGCAATTTATTTTAATTCGATGTCTGGTAAGGTTGACCAATATAAATATTTATGTTTTAGTAAGTAAAATAAAAATTTGTGAAAATATGACTGTGTGTACTCATAAAAGTGTTGTTTGATGCCAATAACTAAACTTGGTACAGTTTGTGATTAGTTCAACAAAGTTTATCGTTAGGTTCGGTACAGTAGTTTGGTCTAATTCTATATTGAAACTACGAAACGGTCTCGGGACTTTCCAAATACTGTAATATTTATTTTTATTTCAACGAGTCAATGTCCCCATGCTGTAGTTTATCTAAGGAAGTATGCTTAGTCTATGGTTCTAACCGACGACGCACTCTCCACCAAGATACATCGATGAATCAGTAAATTTTGATACTAATACGTTTATGTTTATTATTTTAGAATCGTAGTGGTCATCCGGAATTTAATTTAACATATATTGCAATACTAGTCGGATCGAATCAGAAAAATATCAAATAAATACGCATTCAATATTGTTAAAAATGGATAAAAATAAAATCCTTTAATGGTTTACAATCAATCAATTTAACTTTAATCCACACTATTTTTTATAGGTTAGTGTCATTGTCGATTTTGGTAAATTTATTTAAGGTATGTTTATTTACCATTCTAACACATTGGAAAACCCCTAATCTTAGCCCTCACACGATACAAGTGCATATTTATTATAATTAGGGTGCGTTAGAATTGTTATATTAGATAAGTAACTATTTTACCCTTCGACCAATGCATGTACAAGTAATGTATTAAGTAAGCAACAATTATTTTGATTCCTAAGACAATGTTTGAAAGAATGGTGAGTAGTAATGCCATTAAATGGTCTGAGATCAAACAGTTAATTTCCCAATAAACCATATGATTATACAATCTCACTACCCTGTTTCTAACCAACAAGAGGGTACTGTGGTACCAAGTTACTAGCCTGTTCCTATAAAATTATTCACACAGTTGATTAATTCAAAGTTTTAAATATCTAAGACGGGGACGTAGTACCGGCTAACCAAAAATATCCAAACTAAGTGTTTTAAACATGTGAGTGTGTATTCAAGACCCTTTTAATCAATTAAAGTAAAAACGTATTTCAATTATCTTAAATAAAAATACTCCTCGCCCAATATTATAGAGTATCATATATCTGAGAATATTGACTAATTAGCGGTTAACCCTTAGAGAATTCTTGAATTCTGTCTGGTTGAAATGAAGTGCTCCAAATTATTTGTTGTAACCTAAGTGTATTACAGAACACAACCATTACAAGCCAATATTCCTTTACCATACTGGCCTGTATGTAATATAAGAGGTTTACCTGATTATAAGCTACCCTGTTGAATAGGCTAACATTTAACAGCCAAAAATATTCACAATGTTTCAAACTTAAATATTGTTAAACCCTCGGTATAGCAATAAAAAAATGAAATCTTTAATTTATCTATACTATTCCCTTACCAATATAAGTGTGTGTTGGTGGTAGTTACCGGATCTGGTTTTAAATTAATTAATTAATCGGATTCGAAGTTTTTGGAATGTTTATGACAATTTAATAATATGAATGAGTGCCCAATGACTTGGCTTGCTTGGATCCAGACTTAACATTTAACTAATATCCAAGGCACAATCCCTTTCAAAGGGTGGATTAAACTAAGACCTTTTGCTGAATTGTTTAAAATTAAATAAAAAAAAACTGGTGATATATTAGGGATAAGTCCATCAAATCTCAAAATGGAAGTTTATATGCCCAGCTATAAAAAAAGTTTTATTGGTTTGACAATAAATGGGACCAGTCCTGAAAAAAATTCTATTTGGGGAAGAACGAGATCAGTCCATTTTGTTTCAGTAGAAAACTAGTACAACGATTCCCTTACAATAATTTCTCTTAGTGGAATAAAGGTGATAAGTCCTACGTACTAATTACCTTCATCACACAAAATCTTGTAGTTTATATCATTTTTGGAAGAAAATACCGAATAGCATTGTTTTACTGTAATTTGACGACAAATCTTAAAAGTATATTCGTAAAACCACTAAATAAACCAACAACTTTTAAGTGAAATACAAAAATATATTTGGTTTAAGAGCATTGTTTTTGTTCTCCTGCAAAATTTAAACAAGTTAACTTATTTTATTCTACCAGCCCTTCAAGATCACAGCAATTTTTTATCATAACAAAAATGTAATGTTAAAATACAAAATTTTGAATGTCCTACAATAGATCTACCCATAGCCCAGTACACGTGTAGTTACCTGGTTATCAGCTACAGATCCAGGGTGTTCCGTAACTCCGCGGTGTTCACAAGTGACTGATGCTGTCGGAGCTCCACGCGGGTTCTCTACCTCCACTCTCTTCTGTACTCCACGACCTCGATGTAGCGGGTGCCGTTTGCCGTCCTCTCCCATCTCCGCACTCCAAGGTCGAGGACTTGCACATTCCTTGCCCCGAGCCCACTCATCCTACGGGGTACGATTAGCACCAAAGTGTTGAGTTTACTAATTAGCATTGACTTTTGGGTAGTATACGTCCCATCAATGTGGACGGGCTGTAGTCACGCGTAGTGTTCAATAGACATCTATTTTTCGTCATAGTGCAGCAAAAACATCCGTTTTATATATGCGTTGCGGGTCTAAAGTAGCTCCTTTTACTCCCTAGGGAGTCAAAGGCGTTTTTAGTCCTAAGGAGTAAGCTTTTGAAATTATGTATCGATTGATTTAATCTATTGTATCTTATTGTTGGATTCTTCAATAGTTCGAATTTTCGATGGTATAATCGACGCTAACATAATCTTTATAGACGAAATTAATTAATCACTTACCTAAACAGCTGATAGTTTGCATTAGCAAATTCTGACAAGTTGAAAGTAGTTTTCAGAAGGTTACCTTTACATGAAAAGTATTTTCGTTTTCTTAGCTTGTTAGATGATGCTGCAATATGGCACAAATATAATAATAAATAAGTGAATCCCATGGTTTAATCTGTCTCTTGATATTCTCATTCTTGTGTATGTATATATGAATTAATAGTAACATAAAATTTCATAAGGAATGTATTTTAATTTTGGGTAGCTGGGTGTAGTTTCTGTAATGTTTTTATAGCTGTATACGAAAATCTAATTCATTTTACTCTATAGGAAAATTTCTCTCTACTTATACAGTGCCTGGTAATAACTAGGCTACTTATTCAATCCTACAAAAAAGTCAAAGGCTTTTTGATGGATCGAAATTTGTCCCAGTTGACCTTGATCTTTGGGCCATTTAATGACTTTGGCTACAGAACCAGCTGATAAGACACAGCTGTTATCTCATCAATTCCACAATCATTCTTTATTGATCTTCATAATTAAATACACACCCTTGTGTGTCAAAGTCGTATGAATACAATAAATAATAATCCATAAAACAAATATATTAATTTTGTTAAAGTAATTCGGGCCTTCCTCTTTGCAGGGGATAAATATCATTATGTATATTTGTATGAATATATGGATCACCGTGTTGAACGATTTTTTCATGCAGAGACTTAGTTCCTGCTCAAAATCATTCAGAGACGTAATTTTAGAGTTGGTGTATTTTTTACACGAATATTAGAACAGAAACGGACAAAACAAACATATGAAATCACCCTTCCCGAAAGTAAACAACATGTTTGATTAATATTTAAATGCAACTGTCAAAAACGCTCAAACCAGCTGTTACGGCTAAGTATACACATTCATGCCAGTGACGTCAATTTTTACTATACATACAGTTTCTGTTCTAATAATAGTGGTTGTATTAGTTGCCTTTTTTATATTTTTTTTAGGATTCCCGATTTATTTGTGTAAGTGGCGTAAATTTATAAGGCAATGAAAATACTCTCATTTCTAATACGACGAAAGTTATATTTATATTTCATCTAGTATAACAGCCAAGTCCAAGTGTTGTTGACTGAGGTGTATTTTAGGCGTAGTGTACACCTAAGGTACATTACTCTATGCACATCAAGAATTCTGCCAGCCACTTTCTTCTTATCATGACCTTGCAGATTCTCTTGTACGTCTTCGGCTGTTCACGGCCACAGTAATTGGCAAGGTGTACAAAACACTTGAATTTTCGGTCAAGTTTGACTAATCACACTAAATACGGTGTGTTTAAAAAAGGACTTTACAAATTTGACGGATTATGAAATAAAAAAAGACTTTAACATCCTGTAATATGAACTGTATTGTCTATGACTGATATATATCGTCTTAACAGTTCCTTACAATTTTTTCGCATGGTTTACAACAGTAGCATCAACAATACAAAAACAAAATAGGTTTATAATTTATTGGTAAACGAACTATTTGTTTTTTAAATTGTGTCAACTCTGATGATTTTACAACAGTAGTGGAAAATGTGACTAATTAGGGTAAGGAATTGTTGAGACGAGGTAAATAGCTTAGTCACAGAATCTAAACATAACAATCACTCACAGAAATACCTATATTGTTTTTTTTATACTTAATATTATATAGTAGGTTAGAAACTAATTTCATGGATGAAAAAGTGTCTTAGGACAAAATTTGAAAAAAATAAACCTGCAGGATGTGTTACAAAAATGTTCTAATCATTCATGTGTGATAATCTCGTATATAAAATGAATCAATTTGTTATTTTATTTGTGGTATATATCGAAACATATCTTACATTTTTAACCACGCCTGTATAAAAGATGCGAAGCAAGGGGTTTCTCGATTTCAAATCATTAAGTTGAAATGCAAAATAGTCTATAAGCATACTACAAGATCGCGCCACTCATCCTACACTCATCCTTCACTCATATTTGGGTTAAAATACGCACATAGTGGCGTCCCCATCTTAAATAATTGATAATTGATAATTGATAATTGATTATTGGTTTAAATATATTCCACATCACCATCCAAAAGTTTGAAGTTAAAAATGTGGTGCAACCTGATCAGATGTTCTACCAACAATATAATGACAACCTGTGTCAAGTGATCAATCAGCTGTTTGCATTGATTTTAATTAACTTTCAACCCAGTATCATCGACTATTGGAAACTGTTTTATCAATAATTAAAGCTCGTATCCTCTGGTGAAATGGTCCTTCACTTCCACTTTCTTGGCTTCAAATTTTACTTTGGATCTCGGTGTATAGTCAATTTAGGCTACATCCTTATTGAATAAACAGCTGTTCTTAGCCAGTAACATAGTCTCAAGGAGTGTAAATAAAAATACTTACATAAGAAATTAAATTATACTCTCATAGAATTTGTCAGAGCCGAAAATAATAACACTCAATCTTCCTGTTGTCTGTTGCTCGGTGAAGTTATTATTTACTCCGGTTTTATTATGAACAATTCAAAAGGGAACGGTTTAAACCCTAATCATGATTGATCTAAGGTCAATTAGATTTAGAGAGTGTAAACCGATTGTCTATTGGCGTTGATAGATTACTTTTGGGTTTATTAAGCATTCAATGTCTATTTTTACACTTAATACGACTCCAGCAATATTGTTTTGTACTCCTGGAAATTTAATGTGAGGATCTATTACATAAGTCTCTTGTAATAGGTTCACAAATCAATTATACATTACAGGATACAAGTATAAATGTTCGTGACGATATGCAAAATGGCCATGTCGATAGTGAAAAAATAAAAGGTGTATTTAAAATTAGTGAAACAGTAAAAAATGTAAATTAGACAGACCATTTTAAATAATGTTAAGTTACATTTGATGACGGTATCATATTTATATTCAATCATTATTTAAAGCATTTACTAAACACACTCCTAACGTATTTGGCAGAATAAACTTTAGTTCTGCCAGCTTTCGTAGAAGAATTTAAGTTTTTTTTTCGTTATTTAACTCATCTATTTAAATAAAACAAACTTATGAAAAATTTAAAATAAAAACTGTTGCTTGTCCAAATTTATTAAAACAAAATAGTAAAGAAAAATCATAAAATGTTGCATAAAATAAAAGCGAAACAAGTATCAATGTACTCAAACGTCACCAACACGAAACACACATTAAATAGGCTTCATATTTTGTAATGAAAGCACGAGTCTGCTTTATAGTCAAATCTGCAATTGAATACAATAGTAACAGTTATGAATAGATGTTGCAAATTCCTCCGGACTATTTTGGGTGGTTAAGTAAGGAAATAGACCATCAACAATAGCAAGTTTTCAATTCAAATTGAGTGAATACATCCGGATATTTTTGACAATAACGCATCCATGAGCAATTTTAATATTTTTCACCGCAACTGATTTTATGATAATGTATCTACTTTCTAAACTTAAAGCCTGAAGTTTTATTTTATTTTTATTTTTGTTGGTTTAACTGCAAAATATGGGTTTTGTGTAGTTTTGTAAGTTTAAGTTACATAAGAAAAATATGTTTTTGCGTTATACCTAGCATTGACTATTGGTTACTGAAGGTTGTATTTTGGTTGTATTAATAGTCAAAGATTATAGTTACCAAAGAGTATATTTTTTTTCTTTCAGCCATACAAAAAAAACTATATCAAAAATAGAGATCACAACCTTAATAAGATTAGCACTAACCCCATCGTCTATTACCAACGGCACGTTAGGAAACCATACGAGGGATCTGAGGTCACAGCTGATCAAAGTACGGAACTACTGCCTCTGAGCTTTGGGTTCAAATATGTCAAATCGCCAGTGGCTTTTGGCTTCGTTGTAAAGCAGGGACTTTGATTCCCAGCCCACCTGAAGCTATAGGTTGACGTATACACATTAAGTTACAAGGGTATGTTCTTCAATCGAGAAGAGCTTTCTAAAGTTCCATTCGCGATATTTTTTATAAAGTGTGTCTATCGCAATAGTGTGTGTTCTGATTCCCCAGAAGCTCAATGATCAAGAACAGCTGGGTCCACTTTCATTCCATCAAAAGGGAGATGCCTGACTTGTACTAGGATCGAACCGGTGACCTACAGATTGCTAAACGAACTTCATAAACACTCAGTCTGAGCCTTCCAGCTATTTATACAACTTGGAGATGCATGGGTTGACATGATGTAAGTCGGTGTGTTAATTTTAACTTTCATATGTTCATGAAGACATGCCGATTCGACATCACATACAGAGTTGACGTGTTTTGTTAATCCTAAACACTCAAAGTAGATATGATCTTGTAAATACATAAATTATTCCTAATCATGTTGACTAGTTAAATTGCCGTGTTCACACATAGCATAAAAGAGAAACAGTTAATAAGCATCAATAAAACACATCCTCAGTAAAACTGTAAAATAGTATATTATTACGACACAAGACCAGGAAGTAGATGTTTACGGTAAATTGTACCGTACTCCAGCTGATTTTACCGTAATTAAGCATCATTTTC